AGGATCCCTCACACTAGAGCCAGAAATAGAATCATTCCTCAGGACTCTAACGTGGGCTGGATTGGTGGCACTGAGTGATTTGCTCTCCTATTGAGGAGACAGGTAAACCCAGAGCAAGGAACCCAGGAGGCATCCATGAGGTTGCCAGGCCATGCACCCTCAGCTTTAGCAGTGCCAAGTTAGGAAGGAGCCAGACTTGCACCACCTACCTTGAAGCATTATAGTTTACCAAGCCATACTTCCTAATATAAATTAGATTGGAAGCTCCTTGAGGGCAGAGACAATCTTTTGCCTCTTTTTGTGTCCCTAGTGCTTAGTACAATGCCTGGCACATAGTAGGTGCTTAATAAATGTTTATTGATTGATACAAATAGAGGTTATTCTTATTGTCTTTTCAGTGAATTTCAGTTAGAAATGGTCCTGGGGACAAGTGTTACATGGCTATTATTCTTTAAAATTTAATATTCTTCTGGTAGAGGGAAAAAACTGCTTGTTGTCATTAAATAAAAGTATTGGATTAAAAAATGTAGAGATTCAGTGTGGCGTAGGGATGGAGAGCTGACTGTGAAGCCCTGAGACATCCCACTTCTGACACATACAGAACAAGTCATTCTAGGTCTGTAAGCTTCAGAAAAGATAGCAGTTATCTACATTGGTAGGAGGAATTTTCTCACCCAGGCGTTTCCTTCACCATTGACGTCCCAACTCCAGTTTTTATCCCTTTGGGAACATAAGTTCTTTTGTAGGCCTGTCACCATTGTTTTTGTCATCATCATCATCCCCATCTTCATCATCATCTTCATAACTTTCATCATCATTACCATCATCAGCATCATCAGCATCATCGTCATCATTACTAACTTGAAAGCAGCAAGCTAGAGGAGAAAGAGGCCTAGCCTCAGATTGGGAAAAGTCGGTTTCAGACCTTTGCTTGGTATCTGGGTGACTTTGGGTGAGTCACTTAACTTTTCTGGGCTTTGGTGTCTGCTTCTAAAAAATGAGGAAATTGGCCTAGATGATCCCCAGGGGCTTTTGTTAACTCTTGGAAGGCAGGGCCTATTTCATTTCTATGTTTGTGTCACCTAAGTCTAGTACAGTACCTGGCATTTATTAAATCACAGATCGGTTTTTAGCTAGAAAATCCTAGAATCCTGGCTGTTTTCAAGCAGTCCTCCTTTCATAAATAGATAAGAATAATGCATATTTGGCATAGCTAACAGTGCAGGCATTGCCCACACTTTGAAATCTGTGCTTTTTCTGTAAAAGAGAGCCTCAGAAGTCTGAGAACAGTCTATCATTTTTAGAAAGCAAGCTTGCAACCTTTGTAATGCTCTTGCGGGCCTTGGTATCCTCATCTGTAAAGCAAAGGGGTTCAATGAGATGAACTCTAAGCTTCCAGCTCTAGATAGGGTGTCCTATGGCTCTTTTAAATTGGATTTATACTTTTTATTTACTTACTAAGCCCCTTTTTCCCATAAAAAGCAGAAAGATGAACTTTAGCTCAGTCCCTGACTACATTAATTGATTTTTTCTGCATTTCAGTCAATCAATAAATATTTGTCAAGCTCTATCATAGGCCAGGCACTGTGCTAGACTTAGGTGAGACAAACATAGAAATGAAACGAGCCCTGCTTTCTAGGCACTAACAAAAGCCCCTGGGGGTCACTTAGGCCAATTTCTTCATGTTTTAGAAGTACATACCAAAGCCCAGAAAAATTAAGTGACTCACTGAAAGTCACCCAGGTACTAAGCAAAGATTTGAAACCAATTTCTGTTCTAAGTTCTAGGGATACAAATGAAAAAAGAAAGTACCTGCCCTCGAGGAGCTTTCGATCTAATGGGGAGAAGAGAACACACAAAAGGAAACTGAAAAGGGGGAGTAGAGAAAGTATCCCCAGCTCAGGGGTACAATGGAGAAGGCAAAAGGTGCAGAGCTACCTGGGAAAGGAAGAGATGCCTGGCTGGGAGCTCTCCAATCAGAGGGGCAGAGGGTACTGAGGCGATGTGGGACCAAGGCTGACGAGGTTCTTATGAGCATGATGAAGAGATCCAGAGGAGCACAGCAGGATGGAAAATGAGAAAAGGCCTTAGAAAATGGCAGAGACTTCTATTCAGGTTACTTGTTTTCTAACTCTGTGTGTTTAAGTGTCGGTGTAGTAAATACATTAAAAAAATGTAGGTTTTATAGGCCTCTCAGTCATACAAACATCACAAATTATTTAGGATCACAGGTTTAGAGCTCAATACTCAAAAAACATTTATTAAGTACTTACTCTGTGCCAAGCACTGTGCTATAAGCACTGGGAATACCAATATGAAAAAGAGAGACAATGTCTGCCCTCAAGGAGCTTACCATCTAAAAGGTAAGAAAAAGAGACAAAAGAAAGCTGTGAAGGCATGGGGGGGAAGTACCCTGTGCAGGGTCATAGTGGGAAAGTCAAGGAACTTCAAAACCTGTTCATCTGGGAGCTGGAAAGGATCTTAGAGGCACCCAATGCTTCCATTGTACAAATGAGGAAATTAAGGCCCAGGGGATCAAGTGATTTGCCTCAAATAAATGGCAGGACTAGAATTCTACATGAGCAGTAGAGTCATAACTAGGACACAGTGACGGGGGCTTTGCCTCAGACTGCCATAATAGAAAGGGCACAAGCAGTCAATACAAGAGTTCCCATCCTCACAACAGCACAAGGAAGGATGGGGGTCAGGCAGAATTTCAGGCCTCGGGGATGTCGGTCTGTGCAAAGTCTTCTGCTTTGGGGACTCTAAAATGCTAGATTACTTTAGATACTAATACAGGCATAGGAAAGAGGTTTAGATTCTGGACAGTGGTAGAGACAGTCGACTTGCAGCTCTTTCACACCCTCTACTCACTCAAGAAATCCTTTTATGTACTCTATCAGGCTTCCTCTTCGGTCTCTCCCTTCAAGGTGGACCCACATCTTTCCAAGCTGCCCTCCAGCAGCGGGACACTAACTCCTCATGAAAGTGAGCCATCTGCCCTGACATGCTTCAAGTGGTTAGGGGGGCTTGCCAAATCCCTTTTACTGAAGAAGAAAAATTCATGGAACCCCAAATCCCAGAAGACGGTCAAGATGGGCTGTGTGGTCCCTTCCAATTCTCAAATTCTATCCTCTCAAGCATTCAAAAAACTAATTTTCCCTCCCAATAAATAGAATTAGCCTTAATGACTTTTGTATTATTTTTCCATATGAATGAATTAGAGTTAATTTGAGATCATTTTATTCTACTTGACCTAGTAGTGTTTTTTACAACTTGACCTAGCAGCAAAATGGCTAATTATTATTGTTCCTGATCTCCAGTATTAATGATATAATGCTAATGATACCTTTCAATACCAGTATGCAATCCCTGAGAAATATTTTCTTAAACCAAAGGTTTATACCTCTCCAAGGTGAGGGAGGTGGTCTATTCTAGGAGAACAATGAGACTGGGAGCTTGAGAACTTCTCGCTTTGACAACATTGACCCAAAGTCTCTCCTGGGTTATAAACCCTCCCCATTAAACAGAACCTGCCTGATACCCACAGAACAACCCCTTCTGTTCATCTGCAGAAAATACTTGAGTTAAAGTTTTTCCCCTTAAAAATTAATGAATTATTACAAGAAGAATAATAGGATTTATTAAAGATGGCAGGGCAGAACCTGGCCAAATATTTTGTGGTTTTGTGGGAACATAGTAAAGGTAGTCGTTGGTATTATAATAAATGAGGATCTAGGCAAGTCCCAGCTGCTAAACATATGATTGTTACTTGTGAGGACAAATAAGAATATTTTTTCCATCCTGTGGGGGTACATTCTGCTCTAGATACGCCCATATAGCTGCAATTAACATTAATGAGAGTTGTGCACAGAGAAAGGAGACTTGATTTCTTCTCTGCTACCTATATGTAACTACATTTATTCTATGTCTAGACTTTCTAAATCTAGGGATTGTGTTAGCATTTTAATTCCATTTTGGGAGGGATTTTTTTTCCCCTTACACAAATAAATACAAAACAAAGTAGAATTTTATTGGGTGATTTCCAACCTTATCAGAACTGGTATTCCACTGGGAATAATATGAATAAGGGGCTGGTGAAGACTACATACCCTAGGGAAATATGGCAGTAGAACAGGCAGAAGTCCAGGTGGGCAGGCATTCTATGATAAATCTGGTTGCAGAGAATAGGGATCCATTCATGGGAAATTGGGTAGGACTTGAGGACTTGATGGGAGGTAGGGGGTGGAAAGATATGGATCAAGATGGGATCATAGGGTTATAAGGTCATAGGTAAAGAGCTGGAAGAAATTCTGAACTCCAAGCAAGTAGGCAATGACTGTCAATAAGCATTTATTTAGTGCTTACTGTGTGCTAGGCATTGTGCAAAGAGTTGCGGGTCCAAGTACAAGCAGAAAGAAAAACAGCCCCTGCCTTAAAGAACTTGCATTCTGATGGGAGAAGACAACACATAAAATGAATCTGGAAAGTGAGAAGACAGGGAAGGAAGAAGGGGGAGGGAAAGAAGAAAGTACAGCATGAGCTTGTCGTGAAGTCCAGACATTCCAGAGGACTCATGGGAGAGAAATGAGGCATGCCTGACCTGACCCAGCCTCAAGGTGGAGGCCCTGGAGGAAGGGAAGGAGAAACTCCCTTACTAGGGAATGTTAGTACACAGAAGGGAGTATATTATCTCTGTAACTTCAGGCAAGTGACTTAATCTCTCTGGTTCTCAGTTTCCTCCTGTACAAAATGAGGAGTTTGGCCTCGGGAACCTCCAACAGCCCTTCCAGTTCTAAATCTGTGATCTGATCCAGCCAAGGAGACGGAGAAGCAAAGGCCAGATGTGCAGGAGAACCAAGGAAGACCGGGCGGCATGGAATCCAAGGGAGGAGTACCCAGGAGAGGTACTCAGGCGAGACTCCCAGTCTTCTCATTTATTCTGGAAAATGCTGGGGGGGCACGGGGGCGGGGCGTCGAAATCATTCCACTGAGTGCAAGGTCTATGGCAGAAGGGGAGGGGTAGATTTATTGCTTTGGTGATTGGGGAGAACGGGTAGTAATGGAGAGAAGGAGAGATTCTCAGGTCTCAGGCCTCATGAATTCCATAGACAGACAAAATAGGACAGGGGCAGCAGCTGAAAAAATAGAGACGGAAGGTGCTGACTCTGAGTGAATCACTCTGAAGTCTTCTCCTTGAGGGCAAAGCTCTGAGGACGCCTTCCTGGGAGGGTGATCACGCAGTAAATGAATCACTCAGCAGTCCTCTTAGGAGCAAAGCTCTAAGGATGGCTTTTCCAGGCAGAACAGGGCAGGGAGGGAGTCAGGAGTTAACTCTGGGGGGATTACCTGGACTCAGAAGCAGCTTTCTGATCCCTCCTATAGACAATGGGCCCTATCCTGTGGAATATCATAAGAACATAGATTCAGAGGTGGATGAGACCTTAGAAGTCCAGCCCCCTCATTACATACATGAAGAAACTGAGGCTCAGAGATATTAAGCCCAAGGTCATACAGGTAGGGATGTGAGCCAAGGTTCTCTACCTTAAAACCTGGCATCCTTTCCAGTGCATGTTGCCATTAACCCCAGCACGAAGTGCCCACCCCCACTTGGTGTCTCTGCTCTTTGATGATGAGGATCTGTGGGCTGGGGAGAACCATGTGGCAGGCAAAGACTCCTCTGTGCTGGGGAATCATTTCCAGTCTCATCATGACCCAACCTAGGCTACTTCTGAACAAAGTCTGTGGACACAACACAAGCCCTCTCCATTGGCCCACTGTGTAACCAGGCAAACTTTACCTCCCCCGGCGAGAAATCCCAGTGCAGACAAGCACTTGATTTTTTGGAGTAAGTTGTCATTTAAGTCTCCGCTCTCCCTTGCCCTGTGAAGGGTGTATCCACCTATAAGGAGTTATCCTGATTGGTTGGACTGAAGCACCGTCTCCCATAGAGATGGCCCCTTGCATAGGCAAGATGATATAACAATGAGCTAGAACACATGTCCATGGGAGCTGCTCCCATGTAGCTAGTCAGGAACTCCCCTGAAGATCCTAGTAACACATATGGGATGGTATTTTAAGTTTACGAGATGTTTTCCTCACAACTCTGTAAAGTTGGTATATTCCCATTGTTCTGATAAGAAAACTGAGGCATGAGGAAGTTCATTGGCCTGTCCAAGGTCACGCTGTTAGTGGCATGTCACCAAAGCCAGAACTCTTCACTGCCTTAGACTGTCCCTCCTGCAAGGAGCTCACGATCAGATGATGTCCTTCCCCAGGTCCCTGCCAGGAATTTCTCCAAGTTGATGCGGCTGGGGCTCTGCTATCCCAATGTGTGGAGTGCCAGACTTAAAGCAAAGGATAGTAGAATCACAGAATCTAAGCACGAGCATGAGAGTCATAACTGGAGAAAAATTTCCTCTACATTATACCAGGCATGTGGTCCTTGAGTCTTTGTCCAAAGGTCTCCAGTGATGGGGACCCACCCCCCTGCCTCAGAGGCAGGCTATTTCATTTGTGAATCATGTTCATTGTTAAGAAGTGTTTTGCTACCAGTAAGCCTATTTTGGTCCCTTTGCAACTTTCATACATTGCTCCAAGTTCTCTCCTCTGGAGCCCAAAAGAACAAGTCTAATCATCTTCCACGTAGCCCTGGAAATCCTTGAAGGCAGCTATCCTGCTCACTTTCCCCTCCCACTCAAGGTCTGTTTTTCTATAAATGGGAGCAAGTAGACTGGCTTAGATGGAGTGTGGGAAAAAAAAAGAAATTTACTGAGAAGTAATGAGAGAGAAGAAGGTGGGAGGAGAAAAAGAAGCAGATGGTGGAAGGCCCCCAGCGAGGACTGAAGAACGTGGATTCAATACGGTAAGCAACACGAAGCCATTACCAATGAGCAGGAGAGTAATTTGATGAAAATTGTGTTTGAGGCTGAATATCCTGGTGGCAGAGTTGGAGCAGAGGGACCAGCTAAGAGGCTATTGCAGTAATCCAGGTGGGAAGGAAAGAGGAGCTGGGCTGGGCTGATAGCAGGAAAATGAAAAGGAAGAGGCAAATTTGTGAAATAAGATACAGCATGAAATTGTCTGCCTCATGACTAATTAAATGGAGAGAAAATTAGTGTGTGTGAATCCCAAGCTTCAAGGCTAGGGGACAAGAAGGACAGTGGGACCATGGAGGAAGAGAAAGAGTGAAGGGCTGTCATGTGAGAGGGGCTAGAATCTGTAATAATTGACATGCATGCATGTTCGTAGATGAGAGAGAGGACAGAGACAGAGAAGAGAGACATAGAGAGAAAGAGAAAGAAGAGAGACAAGAGACAAAGAAACAGAGAAGAAAGAGACAGACAGAGACAGAAAAAGAGAGGGAGAAATAGAGGGGAGAGAGAGACAGAGAAGAGAGACAAAGAGACAGAGAAACAGAGAAGAGAGAGACAGAAAAAGAGGAGAACTAGAGAGAGGGGAGAGAGAGACAGAGAAATTGAGGCAGAGGCAGAGGCAGAGAGTGTGTGTATTTTAAGATTTGAAAAGCACTTCCTGCATATTATCTCATTTGAGTCCACAACACCCCACAGTGGTGTAATTATGCTCATTTTCCAGATGAGCAACAAGAACCTCAGGCCAAATGACACGCCCATGATCCCACGGCTGAGTGCCACATGCAGGATTTGAACGTAGGTCTTCTGGAATCCAAATTGTGTAGTCTTTCCACAATATCACCCTGAAAATGCCTTGTTCCCAACCTTCATTATCTCATTCCATTTAGATTTGGGAATTTGCTCCTTATCTCACGTTTTGGGTTGGAGCTCCACTTGTGATCTGTGAACACCCTTGGTCCTGGAAGGAGGTGTAGAAGGAGGTCCTGATGCAGAAAGCCTTTGGATCACTGCCAGGCTTCATCACTGCAATTGGTGCATCAAGCCTGTCACTCAGACCCTTTGCACAGATTTCTGATCCCTTGTTACTGAGACGCTTTGAGCAGATCCCCGACCAAACCTTTATCTTGAGATATGTCTTAGATGACCTTTTAGACTCTGAACCCTGGCTCCCAGGATCTGTTCCCCTTTGTTTTAGCTAACACATAGGGCTTTGACTTTCTAACTGATGGTACCTGTTAGCCTTTCTTCTGTCTAGTATTAGACCCTATTGGACAGTTCTGTGTCACTGCTTCCCAAACTTCAGCCTAACAAAAAGTTCTGTGCAAGACACATAGACCTTGTGATAATAGTAAGAAAGTCATGTGAAAATGGCTAGACATCCAGAAATAAATGTATGTCATAGTAGCTCCTGGCATCCATGTGAATTACCTATGAGGCTTTATAACGCGAGGAACAGTTTTCAGGGACCATTGCAATAGGAGAAATGAGAGAGGCATCTCTGCCATCCATCTTCTCCTTTCCATTCGCTCTGCTCTCACTCTAGTACATAATCTTGAGCTCATCATTGCCCATAAGTGCTCCACATCCATAATCCATAATTCCATGTTCCTCTACCTGACTATAACCATCTATCCTTCCATTCCTTCCTCTTGTTCCTAGCCTCTGACAGATAATCCTAATCTTCCAGTGTCTAGCACAGTGCCTGGCACCGAACAGGGGCTTAATAAATGTTAATACAGCAATTAAGTATTAAACTTATTTATAAACATAAATTCAAAATGTTAATTAAAATACTAAATCAATAAAAATTAAATAAGTTAATAAAATAAATTCATTAACTTGTTGACTTGACTCACAACAGCCTCCAGCTCTTTTGTGCTTCCCTGACTTCCCAGTTTATCATCACTGTTCTGACCTTAGTTTCCTCTCTTCCAAAGGAATTTGAGGGCAGATCTGCATCAAGGAAAGTCCCATCTCACACACTTACTAGTTGTGTGACCCTGGGTAAGTCACTTAATCTCTCCCAGCCTCAAAAGTAGAGTCAATAAGAGGTCTTATCTCCCAGAGTTGTTCTGAGGATCAAATGGGATGATATATCGAAAGTGCTTTGTAAACCTTAAAATGCTACATAAAATAATGGCTATTATTATCCATAGTAGTAGCATCTACCTGTGGGAAACAAATGAGAGAATATAAAGCATTTTACCACCCTGAAAGTGCATGTTTTATACATACATATATGCATATATGTATGTATAATATATACACCTACGTTTATATATATTTTATATATATACACATGTGATATGTTGTTGTCTTCAGCATTATGGATTTTGTAAAGTGCTTAGCACAGTGTCTGGAACACAGTAAGTACTATACAAATGTTACCAATTATTATTTTAATTTTAAAATATTTACTATATTCACAGGCAACTTTACATATGCATATAGGTGTATACAGGGAAACACCAGTTTCTAAATGGACTGTTTTCCAGAAGCATGTTTGTTTATAAGTTTGGAACTTGGAACTTAATTTCTCATAGAAACACGGTGAGAGTCTTGGGTTAGCTGGCAAAGTCTATTTACATAATACAGCCGGGGCCCACTACTATAAACCTTAATCATGAGTTTTTTTGAGGAAATGTCCTTTAAAATCTGCTCAGGAGGCCAAAAATATTGGATGTGGCCACAGAGGGATGAAGGATTTCCCCTCCACTCACATATCCTCTACCTGTCCAAGCAATGGATACAGGAGGTCTTCTAGCTCCAAGATATCGGTAGGAATTCCTAGGACCTCAGAGAAGTGGGGATGGAGTCTGGAGGACAATGGAGGATGGGGGGAGGGAATGTGGACTGCAGAGGGTCATGGGCAAGAATCTATCCAGGACATCCTTTTGATATAAATTGCTTCCACCCCCTACTTCTCAGCAGTCTTAGTACACGAAGAAATGAGATCAGGTTCTGCAAATCCTAGGGATTTCCTCCTGCAGGAAGAGGAGGGAAAGGGAACAAGCACTCATTGAGCTCCTACTGTGTACCAGACACTGTGTTTTACAAATAATACCCCCATTTGATAATATCTGTTCCCAGGAGCTGGAGTGGAATAAGATGCAGGGTCTCGGGGTGTCAGAGGTTTGGTGTGATAAGTAGCTAGGGATACATGGATCTGGAGATGCTGCTAAGGAGCCTAGCACAGAAGTCATGGAAGGCAGCAATTAATTAATAAGCATCTAGTAAGTGCCTGTTATGTATCTGGCATATGGCTAGGTACTAGGGTTGCAAGGACAAAATGAACCCATCTTTACCCTTACAGCAGTGGGGGTCTAGGCTAGGTCTGAATCACCTGTGACAGAACCCTGGGAAATTTAGGTGGTTCTTAGAGTGCTTTCTGTTATCAATCAGCATTTGTGAAACATCCCTGCTCTAAGCCTATTTATTGTGTTTTCTTTTGATATGTAGCCAGTTGTAATAGTTGTTGTTGTCATTGTTCAGTTGTGTCCAACTCTCCATGACCCCATTTGGGTTTTTTTTGGCAGAGATACTGGAGTAGTTTGCTATTTCCTTTTCCAACTCATTTGACAAATGGGGAAACCAAGGCAAACAGGGTTAAGTGACTTGCCCAGGGCCACACAGCTAATAAGCATCTGAGGCCAGATTTGACCTCATGAAGATGAGTCTTCCTGACTCCAGGCCCAGCACTCTATTCACTGTGCCACCTACCTGCCCCTTATGTAGCCAGATCTTCCTCTAGTTAGCCTTCTCCTCCTCCTTCCTTCTTTATTCCTCTCCTTCCTTCCCTCCCTCTCTCTTGCTATATAAATATACATATGTGTATATACATACATGTTTATTTCTATACATGCATGTGCACATGCACATACACATACATAATCAAGTAATATTATTTAAGAATGGCAACCGGGCATAATGGATTTAAAGCCTGCCTTGGAGTCAAGAAGACCTGAGTTCAAAGTCTGTCTCTGACACATACATAGACATACATGTAGCCAT